TCGTGTATTTGCGTCTACCCATTCGTCTTCTTAGGGGCGAAGACACAAAATGACAGAAATCAGCCATAACAGGATTGTATTCTATGCCCCTTTTTGTAATTTAAAACATTTAACTTACCTATTTTCTTGAATTGTTTTTCTCGAAAACTCGTATGCCCGGATCGAACAAATCAAAATGATATTGCTGTAATCGCATGCATCAATCGTGTATAACGCAGACGCAGTTTCATACAGGGCGATCCAGTCTCAAATTAATATATTTAAAAATTATGAAAATTAGAAAACAAACGATTTCGAATTGAAAGACCAAAGATTTTAAATTTTTAAGTGTCCTAACATTTGCAATAGCAACAACACAACTCACAAATCCTGACAGTTCCATAAGTTGTTCATTGCTAATTTATTGCTAATTTTGATCAGGAATAGGAACAATACATTTATAACTTGACAAACAAACACATGACAACATGGATTTATTAAATGTTAGTTTAAAACAAAAAAGAAACACTGCTAATTTTTACGGAAAGCTGGTAAATTGGAAAGAACTAATAGCAAAAGTGATATTGTCAATCCATAAGACGACTCAGTTGAGTTATGTCTTGGACAAAGATTACAAATAAAGCCGTATTTACAACCCTGTCATGGAACGTATAAACTATCTATAAATAATCATTTACATGTAGAAGAAAACGTCAACGTCGAGGCGGACCACCATCATTAATCAAAAGATATTCAAGTATAAAATGACATGCAATTAAGGAGAAAAGGAAAACTTCGATCTTTATAAATATTTATTTTCTTCTATTCAAGTCGAGGCAGTGATTAATTGAAAAATGTTATCCAGTATGATAAATAGCTTTTATCTTTGGACACCAAATGGTATTTCGTCTAGGACATATGATGTTATTCTCTATAAAACATTCAAGTTAGGTCAGCGAATCAATTTATGTTTGGTTGTTTAACGAACATCTAGACTACTAGTATTGCATAACATACTTTATGAAATCTGGTCGTCTATGGCCGAAAGGTTAATGTCGATTTCAAAACACTTGTTCCATACTACGTGGGTTCGAATCGCTGTTTTAATTCTTTCTAATGAGGAAGCTATCCAACATCGTAGCGTCTTATGAGATGCCCGTTTAGAAAAGCAGGAGCACATGGGGTCTTCCTCCGCCAGTAAAAGCTAGAAAACGTCTTTGCTTTTAGAGAACGTGCAAATATGTTTATTTTGACTTTTCACAATCTGGTTAACTTTTCGGTTTATCATTACCCCTCATGAACAGACAGTATCAAACCCGAGTCTGCAATTTTTATGTAATTTTATTGTTTTAGGCCTCCGAGGGATCACCATTTTCCCAGATTTTTGCTTATTGTGTTCGTTATATTTTGCTAGACAATTAAATTAATTTACTGTGATTGGAAAATTTTTAAGTTGTTAGCAAGTGTGTGTGTCAAACTTCAGTAACAATAAACAGTGAGATAACTATAAAAAGACACCTTTTCCATTGGGCAGTAACGTTCTATCTGATTAAGAATTATATGTTTTAAAAAAAAATGAGATGAAAACGTTAAAAAATGGATTATACTGTCATATATTTTTATTTCTAAATATTTCCCATGATCAAAGGTTCTCCGAGAATTCAAAAGCACAACAATTGTTTCTTTCCTAAAGATGTACGAGCATATAACCAAGTATTGTCTCTTTCACATGATGTTAAGATGATGACTACGTTCAGCAATAAAATTAACCATTAACGAGACTTTTACCATATTTATTCATTATCCACTTTTTATAGGGACATTTGACTTAATGAAATGCTTCGGATAGAAATAGTACATTCAATAAATAGGGACATTTCACCGGAATTGTTTGCAAAAAATGAAAGTAAAATAGAAACGTGATTTCGTTTAAGGTTTTGATAATAGCACTTAGCTGGAAGGAAATAGCTTTAGAGTTCCTAACATTGCCCCCTTTGTATTTCTTTAAATTGATACACATTATATTAGGCAAATTATGCATCAGAAATGAATAGTTCTAGCCTTCTTTAGAAAGAGCAAACAGAATTTTTATAATATAAAATAATTGTTTCAGAGCATGATAGTAGCTAATTACCTGGAATGTGAAATTGTACTAATACCCCGGAAAGCCAAATAGCATTCATGTTTTTTGCCAATGAGAAACTTTCTTGAAACTATTAACAAGAAATCAATAATTATTATGAAAGTGTTTGAGAAATTGAAATAAAACAATTTATGAAGAATAATGGACCTTTAACAAAAAAAAAACAAAAAACATCGCTTATCATACTAAACCAATTGCAAAAATAATTCGAAAATTGTTTTTGACTTCATAAACCAAAAACTACAAATTATTCAAAAGTACATAGTTAAATATAGTATTGAAAAAAACAATATATACATCGAATATCAATTAACGTTTCATTATTACCTCTGTTTTCAAATCTTTCGTATTTGCTGTTTTTGGTGAATTTGTGTCGTTTTTTTTTGTTTTGTTTAAAAAAACATTTATCCCAATGCTTTACAAACCGACAGTGTCGTTGGTCAAAATATAAAAGAAAAAGAAAACGGTTAAGAGGTTTCTAAATACATGTTATATCATAATCCTCCGCTTGCTGTAAACAAAAACATTTGATTGATTAAACATTGATGCAAATGACAACCTCTGATTTTTTTTTATCTTTTTATCTTTTTTGTCATCTTCTTTTTGCTCTTGTAAGATTAGCATCAACATTGGGCAAAGTAAAGTGGCTGTGCAAATCTTTCGTTTTAATCAGTAATCCTGTTGCATTTTAATCAAAATCTGTGCTATTGCTCGGATAAATGAGAAAGAATCATGACATGTTGTGAAGCTGGGGAAAAAAAAAGAATCATGACAAGTTTTGAAGCTGGGTAAGTTCGAAAAAAAATGAAACTCCAAAGAAATATGCATAAGAATAAGTTGGTGAACGATATATTTTTCTATAAATATTTGTGATAAGAATATTCCAACAAATGATGCACCATAAGGATTGTAAAATGATAATATTTTTTGCCGCCAACAAATTTTTCAGGGCGGTTATTTTTTTAAGTCTTATTTATTTTTTCTTCAAAGATACCGCACATTGAGATATGAAAGTTTCTTTTGAATTTGTTATGGCTTTTCATCGTTATTATCCTTCTTTTGTTTTCGGCAAGGCGAGGATGGGGGAGAGAACATATTTTAACAATGGAGAAATAAGATTTTTTTTATCACAGACACCAATACTTGTTAGTTGCGTGAAGCGGATTAGAGAATGATTCATGAAAACTTTAAGCTTTGGCATTAAATGACTTAAATAAACACGTATTTACTAAACGAAAACAACAAATCATGTAATAAGTTTTCCTATTTACTTTATTGTATTTAGTTTTTTTACATTTATTTCAATCGATGTTTTATTCTCTGCACAGTTTCTACTGAATACTTTTTCTATCAACATTAAGTTTATTTTTTTAACTTCATGAATAGAACTTTCGACAGTAGTTATTTTTCGTGTTATTCAAAAACAGAAGGACATGTAGAGTACTTGAAAACTTCGGATTAATCCGTTCTGCCATAGGTAAAATGAATTAAGATTATTTTGTCAATGTCATCTAAAATTTTGATGGTTTTCACTTTGATTCCAGAATTTTGTACTTCACAACAGCAGGTGTCAAGTGCCGTGTGGCAGCCGTAAAAAGTTGCCCCGTACTTCACTTCAGTGTTGTTATATTTTCTGGTCCTTCGGGATCATTGATGCCAACACTATAAAGTGTTGAGAATTGAGTACCGCTCAAGCCGGTGCTAGGGGGCGTGAGGGATGTTGCACTTATTCATTATTCCTCATGTACAGACTCAATCAAACCGAGTCTGCAATTCTTATGTTATTTTGTTGTGATTAATGCTTCCGAAGGATCACTTTGATTCCAGAAATTTCTATTAAATGAATTTTCTGCCTGCATTAATTGTTTTTTTCTACTTTCATAGGGAGCGATCGAATTTTATTTCTATCAATCTAAGAACATAAATGTTGTACGTATAATGTATAGGAAGCTTCTACTAAATAAATTTTGCACTTCTTCTTCGTCAAAGAATTTTATTTCGCATACCTGAATGATCATGGAACCGCTACACCTAAAAATAGTCAGATATTAGTCCGGCTTTCTGCCATTCATCATTAATGGTAATAAGGTTGTTAGAATATATTACTCCATCATTGATACTTTTTGTTTATTTTGCCGTTAAAACGCCAATTAACGCAACAGAATCTTCTTCAGCGCGAAATGTTTGCCGCGACGACTGTGCAATGTCGGTTTTAGTGCGCATTATAAAACTTCCGTAAAAGCGTCATAGACGCGCAGAAAATGAGCGGTTGAAACGCAGAGACATCTCAGAGAATGCCATACAATTTTCCCTTGCAAGTGCAACGGGTAACCTCAGCGTTCACACAGCGACACCTGTGCAAGTTCTCAGCGTTCTTGCTCAGTTATAGCCGCATCTGCATCCTTAACCCAACCTAACTGCGCCAATAACAGAAAGGTATATGACAGCGAGTTTGTTTGGAGCATGATCCCAGTGCATGTTTTTGATCGTTTTTTTTGGGGATGCTGGGGAAATTTGCTTGGATCGGGGAAAGCTCCCCCCCACTTTCCCTATTTTTTTTTTTAGGACCCCACGAGTTTCGCCGCGGGGAGTGACCGGACCTTTTGAAAAAAATCAAATAATAATAATAATAAAATAAACCCAAAAAACAACAACAACAATTAAAGGACAGCAAAATAAAAAAGAAAACATAAGAAACCGCTGTTGTTTTTTTAAAAATTGTTTAATCATCATTTCGTACAAACATGTAACTATGTAATAAACACAAGTATATTTTACGCAAGTTCCCTTATTACATTTTCATCGTTTAAGTACGAGTAATATTTATCAAAGCATGATATGTTATTTTATATAAAGTTGTATTCGAACAATGAAGAAATGTGGTTTTGTTATAAGTCGAGGTCATGAGGTTCTTTGATTCATTATAGATCGAGAGATGTAACGAAACAAAGTATATTTGTGTATCTTCACATGTTTGACGTCATCATTAATTTCCGTTTTGCAGCGTGAAACCGAGCTCGACTAGGAGAAATTACGTAGTGGTTAAAGTTCAATGAATCCAGATATAAAAGAGATGATGCACTTTGATTGAAATCAATCATAAAGATTGGTATAGAACAAAGAATAACATTCCGAAAGGCAAAGTTAAAAAATAAACCAAGTAGTCAACATATGAAGGCCTGAATGTCACAATGTATTATCTAGGGTCTTAGTTCAGCAGTGGTATGTGAAACAAAGCTTTTCGATGAAAACTAATATCTCCATATTCTCTCATTTTTTGTGAACGTCTTTGCTTTAATTCTCACATTTACCATCATTATTCTCTTTGCAATTGGTATCTTCATTTTCAATTTTAATCTCGACAACACAATTAGTAGTCGGGTAAACCGGTAAATTTAACTCATATTTCTGTTCAAGCGTTTTTGGTACAAAACGTCCTCCGAGATAGTGGTGCTTGCCTTTGAATAACTTCGCACACATTTTAGGAGCGGTAAGGGAGATAAGCATGTCTGGTTTCAATCCATTTTCATCACCTGTCTCAACATCCCATCCTGAAATAATTGTAGTAGAAGTAGTAATAATAATTGCACCTACGCTGTATATTATTGAAATCAAATCAATAGGAGTGTACCTCAAACGCAATATGTGATTATCTTCCACGGATGCCTACATAAAATGCGCGTTAAAATACAAAAGGTGTTTGTGTGTTCGAAATTTAAATAGATTGACTAATTTTACAGTAATATTTCTGTTTTATTCTTGTTATTGGGTGTACGCATAGTTCTCATTTGTTATATTCGTCTGTCACATAAATATATCCCTCAAATTAAATATAAATGAGCGTGATGTGAAAATAATATTATTCACTAATATTTGATTCATAGTTCTGTTATAGTAATATTATTTCTCTAATATTTGATTCATAATTTTGTTACAGTAATGTTATTTCACTAATATTTGATTCATAATTTTGTTATAGTGATTTTATTTCACTAATATTTGATTCATAGTTTTGTTATAGTGATATTATTTCACTAATATTTGATTCAAAGTTCAACAGTGGGCAAATGAATAATCCACACCAATCAGGAAAATTAGCCTACAATTTAACTGTTTATGCGATAATCCATTTATTTCTTTCTTTATAGGATAAAAAAATGGATCAATAATATTTTATGAAAAATTTGAAATAGATAATTAGATTACCAGATGGAATATCTATACTGCAAATAGGTGCTTCTATTTTCTTTAACGTCTCCATAACAGATTCAAATTCTGTTCTAACAGGACCTGCAATGAAATAGAAAATAAAAATATTATCATAATTGTATAAATAAACTTTTCCCTTCATAGTACATTTTTCTGTTAACTTTTGATCCTAATTTAATATACTTATTTTTAGATTGTTTGTAAGATTTCTTTCCTTCTTAATTGAACAAGCTGGTTTTCAAAGAAAGGAATATGGCACATTCAGTCAGTGCTAAGGAAATTATTATGTACCTGTACCTGATAATACAGTGCACTTAAGGTTTGAATCAGTTGTAAATATTTGCGTCTTTTCCGATGTATTTCCTGATTTCCTTTCAGAGAAAAAAACCCTGATAAGTCAGTTAGAAATAAAAATACATGTACATCACATTACCTTTAAAGCCTAATCCAAGCAATGCATCAACAACAAAGTTATATGAGTCTGTAATTAAATGTGGTTCAGACGGGAAAAATGATAAAACAGGCATGTCTAAGCTTTCACACTGTTTAAACAGACTGTCAAACGAAGGATTATTTGGTCTCTTCGGATAGAATATTGTCGGCTTATATCCCTGAAAAAGAAACAGTGATATGATATAAATTCCTTACAGGATTATCTCCCTTGGCAGATTTCACAGACGTCACATGATGATGAAAGTCTCGCGACGTAACATGGAAAGTCAAGTGTAAATATTGACCGTTTCATAGTCATTTTTCTCTTTCTGTTTTAATTGTAACTTTGCATACCTATGTACGTTCGTTAAAGTTGATCAAAAATAAACAAAGTTATACAAATTATGAACAATAAATTCAAAAGCTAAAACGATATAAAATAACAAAATATTTTTAAATGTTCGTGGTGGCAGAGATCTCTGTACTGATAAGGGAATATCACTGCGTAGGAGATTGAGTGATAATGACTACATGTTACAGTACTATTCTGTCTCATTTTTGTGTTATTAATTGTTCTTTGTGGTAATTGTTTGCCGTTCGTTGTGTTTTTGTTTCTTTTTTAATCGTAAAAACGGTTTACAGTCAATTTAAATCATTAAGAGACAGAGCAAAATTAAATAAAACTCGATAAAGTTGAATAATCCCAGCTTTTTTAAATAAGATTTACTGATACGAACATCCCAAAAGGAAGAAAATATAAAGAAGAATTTCTACGTACAAACATTTTCAGATGTCTGGCACAAACAAGTCCGTCTCCACCATTATGTCCTGGTCCACAACAAACAAGAACAGCATGGTTGTCCTTTGTCATCTGTTCTACTGGATAACACTTAGAAATACAAAAAAAATGGTGTGAAGGAACTAACATGTATCACCCATCAATATACTAAAGATTATTGCATCTGTTTGACCAAAAATAGCTAAAAAACCGTAAGGTTGGTTTTGCCTAACAATTTCAAAGATTTAACACTTTAAGTTACACAAAGCTATGTAGCGTAACTAATGTAAAAAAATATGCTGAATCGCTTATCGATAAGCTAGCTATCTGTTATTATTTATTGATGCACGGTTAAGTTTGATAATTCTCCACTTTCTTTATTCCAAATATTAGATTACCAACGGATATGACGTTACGTTTTATATGACATCAGAGAAAAGGACTAGAAACGCGACCATTATATCATCGTATAAAATGTCCGGCGTTCCAATTCAATGTAATATATAACGTCATGTGTGATACACACATGAGTTAAGCTGGATTGTATGGTGGTTGAGTCGAGCCATTTCGTGTCTTTGCCCATCAAAATCGGAGGCGAGGACATGACATATCCAATTTCTGATTTCGACTTTTGAGGGCGCCGACTATGTTTTCTCAAAGTCAGCATATGTGTAATTGATTTGTTTACATCTACCGGAGGGCCAAGGCACGACGACACGAAAGATTGCTCAACATCATGTCTTTGTGTCTTCGATTTTAGGGGCGAAGACTCGACGACACGACGATACAATGATCCGATAAATAGTCAAGTTATGTCAAAACGTCAAATATAGGGCTCCGATACGAAGATTTCTGCTTGCCGACACGGTAATTCTTTGGATGAAGACTCGATATGTGAGCATATAATCATGTATTTGTGTCTATGCTTTCGACTTCAGAGAGGCCATGACACAAATTGGCAGAAATCAGCCACCATAGGATTGTATAATATGCCCCTTGTTGTAATTTAAAATATTTAACTTAGCTATTTCTTTTAATCGTCCTTCTCAAAATTCTTGTGCACGGATCAACAACAAAATGATATTGCAATAAGCGCATACATCAATCGTGTATAGCGCAAACGCAATTGTATATATGGAAATCTAGCCTCAAATTAATAAATATAAAATTATAAAAAATAGAAAATAACTGTATTGGATTTGCAAGATCTGATATAGATTTTAAACGAAAAAGTTACTCACATTGGCAATAGCAACGGCACAACTCAATCCCGACAGTCCCATAAGTTGTTCAATGCTAAAGGCATACTCCGTGATTAGTTCTTGATGTATTTCTTGTGCTTCTTTTTGACTGAAATTATAAGACAATGTAATGTAATTAATAAGTAACTAAAGGGCAAGGAAGAATAAAATTTTAGTAAATGATAAAAACTGCAGTAGCAACAGCAACAGCAAGCCTGCACGGCGATGGTCCGATAAGTTAATAAACGCTAGATACATAGACTGTGAAGATATTTTTCTGATTGCTATCGTGAATCATCAGTGACAAAATGAAAGAAACAATTTAAAGTGACTGTTTAAAGTTTAAGTTCTGTATCGTTTTTTCAAACCTTATAAAATATAACCAATGATCTGTCGGCGTTTGAACCACGTGATGACCCAATAGGAAATATCTATCAATTCAGCCTCGTTTTCACACCCAATATAGCCTCGTTTTTCATTTTCAGAGTTTCTAAAATGTCTATATCAAATGCATATCTTACTCCATATATCCTCATTTCAATTTTCAAGACAAAAAAATTGTTCCAATTCCTTCCTGTACTTAAAATTATCAAAGTTTTGACAAATTGAAAAAAAAAGATAAAAAAAGTGAAATAAAGATGTCATTATACATTGTTGAGAACAATACTGATTCTATTCGACTCATACATAGCTGCAAAACCGATATCAGACTCGATTAGCGCGTAGTCTAATATAAATTTGTGTCGAACATAACAAAGTATTATAACCTAAAATTATCACATACAAACTACGACGCAGGTGTTTAATTAACCCTTTTGATCAAAAACAATATTACACTTATGTTGTCACAATGTAATGCGAAGTCCTTAGCGTTTTTAGAGGATATTGAATGGATGTAGGTTTATCAAATGCTCAAAAAATGTCGTAGAAGATCATAAAAGTAAGACGTATTTTGTTATCTTTTATTTGTATTAATATTGTTGTATTTTACTAAGGAACTAATTACCTAGGTTAATAAAGACTTGGTAATTTCATCTTATTATTTGTATCAGAGTAACAACATTTAACATCAGGCACATATTTCAATATTGATCACAAACCAGAAAAAAACATATTTCATTATTGAAGTGTATTTAGCCGCCTTTTACTAAATAAGATGGCATCTTCTTGTTGCATTACTTCTGATTGGTGCCTGCAGGTTGTTAGATAATAACCAGCAACAACATTACTGTTTGGCGCTGTCTTTTTCTTGGGTTTGTTTTGTATTTGTTTGTTTTGTATTGTTTTTTCTTTTTCATTTTTATGAACGGAAAATACATTCAAGTATTTTACCTTGTCTGTAAAGAATGGAATATCTTTACATAATAACTTTCCATTATCTCTCATAAATAGACCTACTCGAGCTGACCCTGCATTTTACCGCTATTGCTATCCAGGAATATTCCCATTTTCTAGATTTTTTCCAGGTATATCGGCAAAACAAGTGTTGTGGATAAACTAGTTCTCAAACAAAGCATACATTTGACAGGATCAGACATGTCTGTCAGAAACTAAGCTTTTATACACAAGTTGATGACATTATAATCACTTATAGTCCAAATGAACAGCTCATGAATGAAAGGTTTGAGAATAGGTTGGGTGTGAGATAATGTACTTCTACCGTACATGTGGCATGTATGCTTCCTGTACAAAAAAGCAACATTGGTTTGAAAAACCATCATTGTAGATTAATTAATAAAATATTATTTCTAACAAGTTCTAAGGATGTTTTGGTGAAAATTTATCTTATTAAATCAACCATTTGTTACAATTTTGTCTGATAAATATGGGTAAAATTAATATAAAAAAGATAAATATCAATGATTCATTCTCGTTCGAAAACTTAAAAAAAATGTTGCTTTCTTTTATCGATTATAAGCCGCGAACTTTGTTATCTTTATTGACTAAAAATAAATGCGAGACAATTTCCTTGAAATTTGTTTCTCAACAACACAATACATTAACAGCTTATAAAATTAGCTTTACAAGTATTAACATGTCCATTAATTTCTCGTAAAACGTCGCATTTACTATCACATTTCATGTCATCCAAATATTGAGAAACGTTCCATTTATCAAACAAGCAAATTGAATTCCTGTCAACTCACCGCTTTCTACGTGATTGAATGGAGAATATTGACAGAATTTAGAATTAAATATTCCTTTGATGCTCTGCAGTTTATGACATTGATTAAGAATTATGTGACAGTTGTTTTAACCCAATGATAAACAGGATTCTTTTCCTTTACATCTCTTCTTTGTATAACTTTTTTTGGTTCTTGTAACCTTTTTCCACGTTACAATTTGAAATAGACTTGCATAGGCTGATCTTCCCTGTAAATTCTAACACATTTGCAGTTTTGAACTTGGATGCTTAAATGTCAAGGTCACAGTTACCCTACGAAATTCGTTTCCGTTCAATGCTAAAAGGCCATTTTACCCATACCTGCTAAAACTAAAAAAAATCTACTTTTACTAAAACATTACCTCTGTTTTTTACGCCCCAAATCTAGTTATTGCCCTTGACCTAGTTACAATTTGCAGTCCAAAATTTATGTCGCGCGTTACCCAGAATATGTAGTTATTTACTTGAGGTTTGATTATTTATTCATTCAGAATTTGTAGAGTTATTGCCCTTGCCTTAGTAACAGATTTGACATTTTCAACATGTGTCTGGCATTACTCAAAAGGTCTTTGACATAGAGCCATGAAACTTTGCTGGACTGTCGATCAGTGTGTGTCTTTTTACATCTGGGTTTTTTTTTGGTTTCTTTTTACTTTCATTTCTATGAAATTGAGATTTGAAATTTGTTTTAAAGTTTAAAAAAAACAAATTTTCCCAAAATTGGGTGTCTTTTTTTTGACCCAAAACTTTTCGTTTTGAGGTTTCGTATAATTTCCTTTGTCTTTTCCCTCTTCCATACTGTCCCCGTTGTATGGGCAGTTTGATGACAAAAAATCGAAGTGCCCGGTTTTTCCCCTGTTTAAAAACCTTTTTGGACCCCCTAATATAGCTTGAATCCTTAGAGGTCCAATTGTCAAGACCACGGTGACATAAAACGTGAAACACGGCTCTCTAAGACTAGACAAACATTTAATCCCCAGTTTTCATACTTCATATGTTGGTGGCCGTATCTAATTAAAATTCCCACACTTTTAGGCGTGCGTGCTGACAGTAAAAAAGTAAAATCTGTTTCTGCTTATTTACTTGGTAAATTTTAGTTCAAACAAAACTATATTGGACCATTGTTTAATTGAATAGATGATTTCAATTAGTTTTGAATTTGGATGCTCAAAGTCCAGGTCATATTGAATCTCACGTAAATAATACTCCAGTCCTATAGATATAGAACAAGTTTTAACCATTGCTTTCATACTTCATCAGATGTTTGTCTTCATTAAGTAAATCATCCTAATATTTTTGGGACAGAAGTAAGTTCAAAGTGATATTGAGGACTAATGAAATTACTGCATATTAGTAGAAATTCATTTCACTTTCAACCTTCAATCATTAAAGCATACTGATTTTCCTCATTTTTATTAGGTAAATGACTTTCTTAGTTTTTTAGACCCGGATGGTATATGTGATGCACTGTTCCGGCTCAATAACAAGATCTTTATGCGCATGTCAGTATTTATTTATTATGTTGTGTAATCATGCACTTCTTTGCTCAGCATGTTTAATAATAAAAGAGTGGTTTGAAACGGGTTAAAACAATTTAAACAGAATCATGTAGATTTTAAAAAAAGTTGATAATTACGAAAAATCGGTGGTGACGTTTCAACTGCATGAATTCCCGATTTCATCTTTGTGAAGTCACAATTTTTACTTTGTAAATTCACGAATTTGAAAAAGTGAATTCACAAAGGTGAAATCGTAAAGTTGAATACGTAGAAATGTAACCGTGAATTGGAAGGTTGTAATAGTGAATTTATGAAGTTGAATTCGTGAATTCATGAAGTTGAAATCGTGAATTGGTGAAATTTAAATTGTGAATTCGTGAAGTTAAAATCGTAAATTGGTGAAGTTGAAATCGTAAATTCATGAAGATGTAATCGTGAATTTGTGAAAATAAAATCGTGAATTTATGAAAATGAACTCAATATTTCAAGGAGTGTTAATGTCACCGCCGTTCTTTTGTAGATAATACACTCAATTGTTATTGTACAGTTGATAAAGGTATTGATTTGTTAACATGACATTGGGTAGCCTATTAAAATCCTATTAATAAGTGATTATATAATTGCTTGTCTAGCCGGCTGTATTCCCATAAGAATAATACTTGTTATGTTCTCAGACAAATAGCACCTAATATGTTAATTCTTTCGGGAGCATTTTCTCCAATATCCTGTACTGAGCATTGATGCATAGAAATGTGTTTAGGTAAATAAAATATTCAATTACAATGATTAAGTGCATTTTTGTTTATGCTTCTAGAGTGTTTCATGCTTGAATGAATGCTAATACAGTTAACTTTTTATACATTACACCCGGTAAAATGATGCTGATGCCGAGGTCCAAACTCTTGTTTTCAACTTGGTTGTCACACTCATATATACGATATCCGGATATAACGATATAACTTCAGTGGTCCATAGAATATCGTTATAAGCGGAGTTTACTGTATAACACAGAAGGTCAAAATGTAGACTGTGCAATATATTCAGTTTCTGAATCAGTTTTTGTTACGTTCAGTTATGATTTATTGTTAACGTTTTGATGTCAGTCGAGTAGACTAAAACTATGAAAATTTCGAAATTAAAAAAAGAAACTGCAATCTATGTTTAATACATAATGAAGCATAAGGGATAAAAACTTAAAAAGATTAAAATAATATAAATTGTAATTGCTTCTCTAGACGGAACAAGTTGCCTGTATTTGCCTGTATTAATAATATCACTCTCGCTATTAACCCTTTACCACATATATACGCGAAACAACGCACTTTCGACCCCCCCTTTTTTAGGCCTCAAATAGTGAAAAAATGTCCTATTTGGGCCCCAAACATAAGTTTTCGTTTGAAAATGTTGCTAAAAAAATTGAACACTTTTTCGGCGCCGCCCCCCATCCAAAAGATACATCAGGGGGTTGCCAGAAGGGGGCGGAGTCCCCCTCATCGCCAAGAAAATTTTGGACTTGTGAGAGGCTAAAAATGACCCCAGGTCGATCATAATGTAACGTTTAACCAACGCTGAAAAGCCTTTGACTCTATCTCAATCCCTTGAGCAGTTGCAGCACTTTGAAATAAATTTTGATGGAAAAACTCGAGGCAAAATAGTGATTTTTGGCAATTTTAAGCCTCAGACATTTACAAACATTTTAATACTTTAGAAATGTCAAACATTTGTTCAATAATGTTTTAATAATGGATTTAGAGTATTTAAGATGGTACACAACGGAAGAAAGTAGTTCTAAACGTGCAGTAAGGTGTCGCAAAGGTAGCATATGTTTCCATACAAATTACAATTCAATTTTCTATAGTTATACTAACTGGAACAAAAAGAGCAAAAAAGTGTAGAATATAGCAAACCAGTTTATCTTTCTGAAACGATGTTAAGATATCAAAATAAATTTTTTTAGAAATAAAATTGATAGTCTTTGGTAATTGGTAGTGTTTAGTGTTTGGATAAAGTAATATAATAACACAACGTTCTAGCAATACTACATAATTAGGTTTCTTCATTATTTGGCATTGTATTGCCTACTTTTTGTTTATAATGATTAAATTGTCAGCTTATTACCTAAAGAAATATATTTTACCATAGTTATCTCTATAGACTTATTTAACTTTAAAATAAGAACAGGTGTACAATATATGTTTTTCTAAAAACTTTGGCTTAAAACACTCTAATTGCTGATCGAGAAATATTGTTCAAACACATTCGGTCATAACAATCTGGTTTGAATTAAATTAATTAAAAGAAAATCGATACACATTATCGAATATTGTGTTGAAAAGTAACTAACACTGACTGAATGCTGCAAATATCGTTTTGTTCTAAAATGGGTTCAATTTAATAAATAGAGGATATTGAATGAGTGTAAGTTCAATACTGAATTTATTGCACGAGTTGAATAAATTATATTATGCGAGCCTCTGGCGAGCATAATATTATTTTATTCAACGAGTGCAATAAATTCAGTGATGAACTTACACGAATCTAATATTCTATTTATCACATACCCAAAATAAAGACCGTTTAAAGTGAAAAAAGAGTCATTGTTTATTGAATATAGAATAACGCTAACATTTAGCGCGTCATTGCACTATGTTTGTATAACGCTAATGACGTCACGTCAAAATATATGCACGGCCGTGCAATACCATATTTACGGAGTCGCAAAATCGGCACGGGTGTGTGATAAACAGGCATTTTAAATTTTTGTCAACTCTCTGCTTTCCATGTACATGTGTTATAAATATTATCAAAATTAAGCATCTTTTGATGCACTGAATTCTTTTGAATTTATTAATACAATTTATATCAAAGACATTTTTTTAACTCAAGAATTGTCAGATATACCTGCTCTCCTTAAGAATGCTTCTTTATGTTTCTATGTCAAAACACTTTCTACGCTTAATATCTTGTCCATCTTTTAATCTGGACACCATCATTAAGATTGTAAGGGAAAATTTCAAAGCAAGTACTGACTGAATAGCAAACAGTACAGACCAGATGATACACAAGTTAAAGTGTTGCAATAACGATATTATAGCAACATTTTATATATATCAGCATGTTAAATAACTCTTAGGCATAAACAGATGTAATCTATTTGTTCTGTTACAGAAAGCTCTGTTAATTTCCTTCAATGTAATGAATCATTTGTCTTAGATGTAATTTATATCCGACTTTTATAAAATGCATAGAAAATGATTTATAACATGATCAAAACTGATCCGTTTAATCAACCAGAAGAGTTCTAGAAAATAGCACATAGGTCTAACACATAATACGTCTTGCAAAGAAATAATTGTTTGCAAGATAATTCACCAATTAGAAATGGCGCGGAAAATTCTTTCGGTACAATGACAAGCTTCATTTCATCATGAATCCTCTTTGTTTTGCAAATGTGGATCAGTCTGATTGTTACCTCGGTCCATTATTACATCACTTTGTTTCCGCTAAATAACCGCCAAATAACTGTTTGACCAAATCTAATTACCCTCATCTAGTATATGTTGGATGCTTAAAGGCCAAGTTCACAATAACCCACCTTTCCATCCCAAACTAAATAGGTATTTCCCCCAGTTCACTAAACGAGCAAATATATTTAAGGGAAAGACCCCTGTTGGTACACACTGTTGGTACAATCAAAACACAGTGCTATTGAAAGAGAAATTATTTTCATCAAAATAATTAAAAAGTCTCTAACGTTATAATCATGATAAGTACCGATGTTAAATGAATGACCCTATGTTTTAGCTTAATCTTTAACGGTCAAAGTGAATTGAACGTGAAATAGTAAAAATAGTCTCTGCTTAATAACAAGAGAAGCACTTTAACAAAAGCTATTTATTCAACATGATGGTCATCTTTATTAAGTTTAAAACCCATAGTTTGCGCCTGGATGCTCTAACTGCAAGGTCACAGTGACTATGAAGGTTAAAACCTGTTCTGCTTTGTGCGTCAGTTACTCAAAAAGTGTTAGTCAATTTAAGAAAATTGAAAGCTGTGGTTCACAATTTAGGGATCTAAGTTAAAGAAAGCAAAATAGGAGTCATCTACTCTTTAATAATAATATCCTTTGTCATTTGGTCTAAAAAATGTTTAAAGTTCTGAAATAAATACACCTAATTAATATTATTTTTCGCCAATGGTATCTATACAAAAATAAAAACGTTAATGGAATCAGAGGGTGATAAAATATACTACTTATTCGATGATTTGTTTGAGTGAGTCTTTCGGTGTGTCCGATAATATGCTTTGTTTTGATGCAATAAATAAGAACGGTTTGTCACAACAAAATTATTAAATAAACTGTTTGTACAAATGCCATCAGGGCAACAGGAATATTAAATTCTTAGAGAAAATAAAAGTAATCTCATGTTGCATTTCTGATTTAACAAAGGTGATAAGGGTGTTTGTTATGCAATGCTTTCAGTTTTGTTTCAGCTTGATGTTAGTCAAGTTAAGTTACCTAAATAAAATAATATAAATCTATAGAAATAAAAGCATTGCATGAATAGTAATTGCAAAACAGTGATCAATTAATTAAAGAAGTGATCTTAACTTAACAATAATTATAAAACAATATACATGATTAATAAGTTATTATAATCATTAAAAAACTATATATGTAGTAAGTTTAGAAGCAGAATCATACATGTACCTAACATATTTTATCTTTTGTTGTTGTACTTCATCAATTTTGTCTTCATGACCGTCATGTTTTTGTTTATCCTTTTTATGACTTCCTTTCCTGCGGAATGAAAATCTGTTCACAGATATCCTATCCATTGTAATTATAATGTGGCTTTTATATGACTATTTGAATAAAAGGCAGTGAGTAGTTTGTTCATACGGGGATACACATGTAAGTTTCTTGACAAAATTGATTCTATAGCAAAAATAGACGAACAAAAATTTATGTCAAATATGAATTGTGTCACTTTTTCCCAAATTGTACTTGAATGCATTGAAATTTGTTTGACTTAACACAAAGACGATATCAATAAATTCATTATCTCAAACAATTTAAAGTTCTTACAATATTGAATACATTTTTCTTCAGTTGCAAGAAAACTAAATGATAAAAGTAACACTGAAAGATAAATGTAAAGTTTAATTCACTTTTTCCAACAGACCACCGGTATATCAATCACTTCAACAAGACAGACACTAAAATCAGCTGTTTGCAAGAAACCAGTCAATAACACGCACATTTATTCTTAAATATCCTTATCGTTATTTCCTCTGATAACAACATAGAACTGTGAACATCTCTTCGTAACTCTGTGAACATCTCTTCCTAACACTGCAACACAATATGGCTATACTGTCTGTACAGTATTGGCAATTTCCGATTGTCCTAACAGTGCTGTGAGAAATATAATATCACACCGCTAAAACAACTATTATATATTCCTATTTAAGCATATTTCTAAGTTTATTTAATAAATACTATAATTTCATTAATTTGATATAGAAATACTAGTATACGTTTATACACTCCTGCGCATCGGACGGATGTTTAACTATCGCTCAAGTAACGGAAGTGTATTCATTGAGCTGCGAAGGAAGCGTATTTTGTTTACTTCAATCACATTATTGCGCGTATCATTTTAAAATTGGTGTGTATGTTGGAAGGCAAAGGTCAATCAAAATACTTTAAAACTGCATTTGTTATCAGATCTCTACATGATGCTTGAAGTACAATATTGCAAAAAAGAAACAGATGGCAAAATAAACAGCATGTAAGGAACTCAAACCCGTTACCTCTTGAATACCATTTATTTTGTTACCCTAGTAACTGACTTTCAAAGTCTTTCTTAGTTTCTGCCCTTATTGATAAACAGTTCTATACCAGATAATATTATCGAAAAAAAAAAACAATAACGATTTATTCGATTTATGATATTAAACAATTGTTCCAAAAAGGATGCTTTTAATCGTTCCATGAGGACGTTTCAAATAATTTTGAAAAATAAAACGTATTCTGAAGAATGTATATTTTAAAAGGGTGCTAGATATAACAGTGTTTTGGTTTAATAATTCATAGCATTGCCCAAATGGAAGATGCGTTGGAAACTCGGGATTGAAATGGAAATCTTTTGAAAAAAATGTTGTGACCAAACGCACAGGAATCTTTTCATCCAAACTTATAATCGAGGATGTATTATAATGTAGTATGGTCCAAAGAGATCCTAATATTCGTTCGGACCAATAAAAGGACACAAAGACTGGCAACCACATTGCAATTTGTAATCGTACAATTTATGCAAGTTATGAATTGGAATCAATCTAAGACTTTTAAACGATTGATTTTCAAATCAATTTTTGAAAACTGCATAAATGATGGACGGTTAAAATAAAGAAAGTGTAAAAATTCATTTTGTGCATTTTTCAGGGGAATCAATAAATTGAAAATGTTATCAAGAAGCAAATGATTTTTAGTACTTTATATAATCTTAGGGGATCCATTGGAACAAAATCATTTTAGATAAATATCTTCTTAAAATACCAATGTAAAAACGGTTTCAAAATTGTTGAAACATATCGTGCTTTTGGGATCTTGATCAATCAAATGATTGCAAACGATTTTGACTTTTGTTTCTTAAAATGTTTTTGCAATGTCAAACAATTGTGATAGACATTCTAAAACTAAACCTCTACAACACTTGTATTTCCTTATGGGAAAAACTCCATTTTATGCCATCAAAAGTTGTTTTAGAAAAAAAATAAAGATGTGAACAGGAGCATTTAAAAAGGAACTACATAAAAGTAGAAAAGGTTTCACTGAAACAAACTTTGTTGGATTTTTAAATACAGTCAACCAGAACAATATCATTGGAAATTAGCTGAGAGGTTTTATAAATTTCATTTAAAATTAAATGTGTCATATGTTTATATACAGACTAAGATATCGATTAAACACAGTGAAGAATTAGATAGTTGCCTAATGTATTCTGTATTAAACAATTGTGAAATAACACCTAAATTTTGTTGAACGATGCAGCTGTTTGTTATTTTCTTTATGTGTGTGTTTTTTGTTGTTTTTTGGTTATATTATTATAATGGAAGTTTGCTGTAAACTCCTCTCTTTGGATACCATGTTTAAATCCTTATTATTACAGAATCAAATTGTCTAATTCCTCTCATTTATAACATATACATTATGATTTATAGAATGTACCGATTTCACTTAAGACATATGAGTTTATAATATAAAGTACGTTTATGAATAACTGGTGCTTAAAAGTCTTTAAATGTTGATATCGAAAGAATGACTAATATTCTTAGGAAACTGTATGTGAACAAGTAAACCTAAGGCATAAAAAAATGACGAAAACATAAGTCTTGTAAAATTCATATCAAATGCCTTATCTGTACATACAAATGTTATTGATTTTATGCATTCAAAGACGTCATGTAACTAATTGACTTAAACAAAGTAAACTTTCATTTACATCTCATACTACAGTTAAACATTTTAAAAATATACTTGTTCTATATTAGAGAAAAGAAAGCAAAGCAAAGCAAGGATCTTTACAATGATTTAACTAATCGGCTGAAAAATGATTGTTTGATTCCAACAATTAGCACGGTAAGACAAAGTCGCGGTAAGTGAAATACCAAAATATGGGAACTGAGTTATCGTCGTATAAAATTATCAAAAAGCTTTCCATGACAATTTAATGAAATGTAATAAAATATCACGAAATAATAAAATTATGCAATACCACATATAAAGAAGTCTCAAACATGTGTCAAAAGTGATATATTGGCTGGAATGGGTATAATTTCATAAATGTTTGTTACTTTTTTAATATCAAAAAGCAAAAGGAAGTTCATAATTGATATATATAAACATTGAACTGCACTTTGTGACATCAACTGTCATTAGATAATATATGCTATATTCAAAGCTGAAAAAAGAAAGTAAATTATGCATCAGTATAAAGATATTTGAAAAGTAATAAATACATAGGTATTTGTTTGATAATCACATAGCCTTTAAGACATCATCTTAACTAACAATACATGTGTAAATAAATATTAGTTGATATAACCATGTTTTATAAAGCCAACTGCTTTGTCTTTGCATCAAATTAGTATAGCTAAATTGATTGAATTAAAACCAAACTTCACATAAATATTCTAGAATCCTATGTTCAAAAGTGAAGAAGAAGAGCTGACCGTACTACAGCTATACTCACTGCTGCATTTCTTTCAATATTTGCCTACAACTCAATCATCTTAATTGACATAAAATAAGTGCTAGACAGTTTCCTGGACAGTTTCCTTGGAACTTGTTTCTCTTGTGACAACCGAGTAGATTATACAAATACACATGAACCTGCTCGTTAATTTCTCGCAATATGTCCCATTTCCTATATCTTTACATTTCGTAGAAAGATCGAAAAACTTCCACATATTGATAATTCCCTTCTCCGTCATTTTACTTGAATAGCAATAGATTTAACCAAGTTATTTTGTTAACATATATGTTGTGGTGAAATTCTTATTTTATCCACTTATCTGATAATTAGAATTGGACAGGTCTGGGATCTATGCATTAAGAAGCTTTCAACGTAAATGTGTCATTTCAAACTTTTTGACTAACTGAATTAAAATAATTATTTGATGCATTAGATTCACTTATTAAGCGGGGAAAGTCATAATACCGGTATGTTATTTTCCGACCCAACGCTTCAGGGTTTTATTACAGACATAAATACCTCTTTTGTCTCTCTTCGACATGTATCTATTCTAATAGTTACTATATTTAGAAGAAAAGAAAGCAATTAAAGTGTTATTTATCTTGTTGAGTTAGCGTAAAAAATACATTCTGATCAGAATCATTCCTCCCGCAGATGTCATTTACCAGGATCATATACAATGTAAAGAAGTACGACCAAAAACACAACATACTCGTACAATAATCTAAATATATGATAAACTATTATAATGCATCAGACATACAAAGAGAAACAATGTTGCTGTTGCTTGTTTCGTTTTTTTTTTTCTACCCAAAAAAATTTGGTCATCTCTTATAATAAAATGAGTCGTTTTGTCTAAGATGTTCTTATCCGAGTTGTCTTGAAAGATTTATAAGATTAATTTGAACAAACAGTTAAGTGAATGGACTAGCATATCAATCGTACAGTTTTAAGTAATACATCAAACACAAATCCTCAATCTGTTCAAGATAATTTATCAATTAAATGAAGGAACTGATGTGACAATGGATTTTAAAACCCTTTTGTTTTTTTTAAACTGTTATAATTGTAACTGAAATACAAATAATGCACCTGATTGACGATGGCATTTCTAGGGTTTTTTGCACACGGCATTCTGATTAACCATATGTTTGATGTAATTAACAAACTTGACTCTTTATACTGTTAGTCAGACGAGTTCGTTGTTACAAAAGAAAACACGCTATAAGTAAGGATTAAATATAAACTGCAGATTGATGATGAAATAAAAGTTAATAAAATTTCTAACAAATTCTCGAAAATTGAGAAATTAGGATGACACAGCTCCGAGAATGGAGTTTAAATACACTATAAAAATTAGTATGATACCTTATAAGTACACTTTTACAATTACTGACGTCCAATAAATGATTCTAGTCGGTACATGTTGTCTGTGCTCCCCCATTAATCACATCATTAGTGCTATAATAAAACAATTATTTGTAGTATCATTAAACAATAACAGAATATGACATGATTACCTGATTCCTCTTTTTGTTTGATCAAACATATATAAGATTTGTATAAAACATGCTTTGAGAAAAACTCATATATTTCATACATTGAATTAACACTAACCGATCTGAGTGTGCATCAAATATATTTTTATGTCAAAAACAAATGCATGTTATGTGTGGCGGCTTCGGTGATTGGTTAACGCATGGGACTAGTAATCTAAGGATTGCTGTCCGTGTGGGTTCAAACCCTGTCAGGGACGAGTCGTTATTTCATTGAAGAAACTTTACACTTATTGTTCAGTACTGGTTGTGTCCAGGAACGGATTTAAGAGTGTGTCTATAAACTATTAGCTTCCTACACAATCGGACTAAAATAAATTACGTATGAACCATATCAAAATATTTAAACATTTTTTTTTCAAAAAAGAAAATGCAACATTAGAAATTGATTGTATAACAAACTTTACTTTGATAATAAATAAAACTCAACACAATCCTCATTCTCGTGTCTTTATCTTGACTAATTACTTTGTTGAAAAAGAAAATGAGCTGAAGAAAAAGATAAGAACGTTTATCCTTATAAATCAA